ATCAAAGCAGTCTTTGTCCTATTGCAGACAACGAGAGCATTTGAGATGTCCAACATATTAAAGCAATTTTATAATAAGACAGTTTTTTGGTTGTCCTTGGGGTACCCCTTTCATTGTTCTTGCAGCTCCCCTTTTACTGTGCCTCTTATGCACAAGGCTGCCCACGTTGATTGTGGTTGAGCGGCAGCTGCCCACATTCCCGTGTGCCTTCACGGCCCACTTGCACGTTATTTCAGGAGGCAGAGTAAAAGGGAAGGTATGCTCCTGTGCATTTCTCTTCAGAGCTTCATACTCCTGTTCATTTCACTTCAGATCTTCAGCTTATACAGTCTTTGTCTCCGTCCTTCATCTTCATACTTCCGTTCATTTAATTTATGATCTTCATATCGTCTGTTCTCTTAATGATGCTCATCCGTATGTACTATGTATTTGTTAGTAGCACAAAGGGAGTGGACGGGAGGGTGGAGGGTAAGGGATAGAAGGCAGAGTTCCACAGGAGTATGGGGCAGGGGAGGTAGGGGCAAGGGGAAGGAAAGAAATATGTGGAGGGCAGGATAGAGTATGACATGTGTGTGTGTGTGTGTGTGTGTGTGTGTGTGCGTGTTTTGGATTTTCACCACAACAGCAGGCCCCTAATCCACCCAGATGAGTAGAACCAAAACCGAAGCAGCTTTAGTCCTATTGCAGACAACAAAGCATACTTGAATTGAGAGATTCCAACAATGAAACGGTTTTACCTGTACGCAGTGTACGGTGTATACCAAGTAACATGGGGCACAGTAAATCTGCTGAAATCTCTTTGTTAACTATGCTTACTTTGGCTTTCTTTGGGGTACCCCTTTCATTTATCTTTGCAACTCCCATTTTACTATGCCTCTCACATACAAGGCTGGCCACATTGATTGTGGTTGACCACCAGCTGCCCACATCCCCCCATGTGCCTTAACGGCATTCCAAACAATCATCACAGCAAAGTTGAGCAAACCCTTTGCCACCCGGATGCACAGATATCACAAATGGAAGAGTGTTGCCATCTAGACCCTGCCAACCCTAGCTAGAGGTTAGGAATGCAGCGGTGCTCGGGCATGGAAGGAGGTCGGTGGAAGGAGGTCGGTGCCAACCCATAACTTTTAATGCACACCAGCTTCGGTGCATAGATTTGGCATGCTACGAGAACGAATGATGGAACTGGATGTACACAAGAGGTTAGGTAGTGGGAGGTATGTGAGAGAAGAATATAGCGTAGTTAAAAAAAAAAAAAAAAAAATTCTCAAAATGATTGTGATGTCTCTGTTTCAGTGCTACAATATGAAGCGATGTAAAGCCAGCCACATACAAGTAGTTGAGAGCTGGATGTCTGCACACCTGGTTGCCTTTCGGCACGCTTGCAACACTGTCTGTTCCCTTAGTGATGCTCTTTTGTGTGCATCTACCAGTTCTGCGCGGGGAACGGAAGGGGGGAGCGACAAAAAGAAATGCAGGGGAGAAAGACGGGAGGACGGGGTAGAGAGAAAAGGAGAGAGAAAAGGAGAGAGAAAGGAGCACCCCATTAGTTCTGAATATTCACCAGCACAACAGATTGCCAGAGACTGGCATGAAACATCGTGGCCACTCATGGGTTTGGGTTCACAGAAAAAGTGGACAAGCACTGAAGCAGTGTATTGCCAATTGTGAGCGGCCACACCCACAAGCGGGGCAATACCGGTTTGGGTGTGGCCTTTAGAAGCACCACGTTCAATCCGCGCAGTTATAATCCCTGTGTCAGATGGCGTGGCAGACAGATATCATGAGCAACATGGCTTCCGCATACTAAGGACACAGATGTGTGGCAATTGCAGGTATATAGGCACTGCAATTCCATCCCTCTCTTCAGAGAGGACAAACATTCGTGGGTGCGATGAACAGGAGACTGTCATGAGAAGTGTGGAAACAAAGACTTGAGTGGACTATACCCTCGTAATACTCACGGCGCAGTGAATGCTAATCACATGCAAAGCGAACATTAGCCGACCCATCACAGAAAGGCAGTGAGCAGAGAGTTTCTCAGGCTTGTGCTTGTGTTACCAACATGGCCTGCCTGTGCACAGGTGATGACAGAGTTCAGTAAGGCATGAAGAATACGCTACACGAGCATGATCTAAAGTAAGGGGGTTCAGCTGTCGCAAGATCTGATCGTCCACTGTTTGCACTGGGGGTGATAACACTGATAAGCTTTCAGCATGCTGCTGCATGGCAGGTGGTTTACCCATTCATCGTCCCCTTCAAGGATAAAGGAAATTCCGTCAAAGGTGCAGCTGAAGAAGTCCAGCATTGCATGTGGGGCATGGACGAAGACTATGAAGAAGGGTATCAGGAGAGTGACATCAGGGATAGTCCACACAGCAGAGACACGTACTTTCTACGAGAGCTTCCTGGAAACAGTGACGAATAATAACATGTTGCCGGCATGCCAAAATGAAAGCAGACTCACACTCGGCAGTTATTTAGGTAAGGCACGTCAAGGCCGCCACGACACGTTGGGAAGCTACTAAGAAAAGGTGGGGATGATAAACGGGGAGTGCAGCAGAGTTCACGAGGGACGCTGGGCCCAGTTCGCAGCATGTGCTGATCGATGTTTATCAGGGGACGTGATTAATGTTTATCAGGGGACACTGGACCCGTTTTCCAGGAGGTGTAGCTCCCCACCAATAGACTGGAGCACTCTGCGACACAGGTAGGAGTGTATGCTCTTATCATCACTCCTATCTGTAAATGCAGGAGTTTGTTTAAAATTTAATAAAAAAAATAAAATAAAAAAAAGACAGACAGATTGCAGCTCTCATTGCAGAGACTGGCAGCGACCATCCCTTTGCAGTTGTCAGAACAGAGACTATGTCATGCACATGGCATCTGGACTGGCATGGCGCAGTAACAGTCCTGTGAACCCTCCCCTTCACCAGTCTGCACAGGCAGGTGCGACAGCCTGATCAGATGGCCCTGTGAAGGGGACGGTTGGCCAAATTGTTAGCAGTGGGGGACAGAGCTTCACCTCCTACAAGGTCCAACACCTCAGCCATATATTTTCTGGATTTTCGGAAATTTTCCTGATCGACAAACGAAACTGAGCTTTAGCTGCTTTACACAAATTTTATCCTTACAGTTTTCGTTACCAACTCTTGCACAATCATCAGGATCGCGGAAGATGTGGAAGAGTGTTGCCACATGATGAGCTTGACCATGCTCATGCTCATGCTCATGATAAGAAGACGAAGCGAAGAATACGGAAGAGGAAAGAAGAGGAGAAAGAGGACGAGGAAAACAAGAATGAGAAATACAGTCCCGCGAGTCCTCTCCTTACTTGCTAACGGGCATAGCGTGTCCCCTGAAGGTTTTTGCCAGCAGATAATTCTTATTGCGAGGCGGCTCGTATGTAGTGTTCCAATACGGATTGAAAGATGCTCCGCTAGGGAACACTGCATCTCCTTTATGCCCTGGTACTTTTGCTGGTGCCTTTTTCGTGTCCGACATAACTTTTGCCTCACTTTTCCCTGCCTCGAGAGTTTTGATCGTCATCTCAAGTGTATTTACCTGCACATTCATCCATCCATTCATCCATCCATCCATCCATTTTTTCAAATCATCCGTCCGTTCATTGAATTAGCTATTCATGCAGCAACCTTCTCTGACACATGATGACTGCATACACTGTCAGGGTGATTAACAATGAACCAGACTCACAAAACTGCAAGGATTCAGCTATGCAACTTTCCGCAGCTCGGTATTTCGGACCACCTATTTCTCTCTCCTTACTTTCACAAAAAAAAGAACACAAAAGACCGTGTGTGTATGTGGCTCCACACAACCTAGGCATATAAAATAAAAAAGTAAAAAGAACATGATGGCACGCCATGAATATGTGTGAGGTACCATAGCACACTGAGGGACCATCCCAGTGAGCCACCAGTACATTTCCCAGCCATTTTTCTCCGATGTGGATGCATGCACGCCACAACTTTCGGGGGTCGGCTGCCGGAACAAAAAGGCTGGCAGCACCGGCGAAAAGGAGGCCCGCACCGGTTTGATTTCTTGTGGCACACAGGGAGTTTCAAGCCCCGGGAATACCCCGGGGGCCAAGTCCCACCAAGTACAACAAAGCTCAGTTGAATGTACCTGAATTATTAAAAAACGGTGCTCAACCTACTTCAACAGTCAGGAATATTCTTCTTCGAGCTCAAATGGTTGTATAAACTTATAAAGTAATATGAAGTTGCCAATGTTTCCGTTACCTAACATACACGTACAGGGCCTCTCTGTACGAAACGTACAGGTAATATCTGTATGGGACCTCTCCGTACGAGACGTACAGGTAATATCTGTACGGGACCTCTCCGTACGAAACGTACAGGTAATATCTGTATGGGACCTGTAAGGGAACCTGTACGTCATTTCGTACGTTTTCTACGCCCCCGTGCGAAAAAAAAAAAAAAAAATCATAAGAAAATTCCGAAAACAAAACATGTTATGCAGCAGCACAATACAAGCAACATTTGGCTGAGCATTATCTGCAGATTCTCATTAGAATTTGAGGAAAAAAATAAAAACAATACCGGATTAAACAAAAAAAAAAAAACACACCAGTACAGGGCCCCTAGTGCAAGGAAAATGAGCAATAGTGAATTCCAGAAACCAAGCAGCATCATACACATGAAACCAGATAGTCTTCACCTCGAACCAAAAGCAGAATTGCAACTCGAGTTCCACCAAATAAGAGCACAGCAAAAGCTCACAAATGACAATGCTGGAATAGTCTCATCATCATCAACAATGAACCAATGTCGAATTCCTATCTGGCGCTCAGCGCCCAGACTACGAATGGCAGATCCTATCTAGCCTGTCTACAATGCCGCTGGTGACGTCAACAGCTTCCCGAAGTACGAGCAGATCTCGGCCAATGCCGTTCGCCTCAAGCACCAGGTATGTCTCATGCTTCACTCACAACCTCGATCCCCCACACAGATGCCACGTGCACCCAAGGACCACCATGCGCCCCATCCAGCGTTTTGCAGGCCAGCTCGGCTATGGCTGCCTGCGTGTGCCCTGCTCGCCTGTGAGCACGTGGGCGCTTGCCTGCCAGCAGCGCAAGCAGCGCTTGCGCAGCAAGTAGCAAGTGCCCGAATGTCACATGCGGAGGCAGGCACTTTCTTTTATCAAAGAGGCCTGCCTGCTGCGTGCTTCCTGGCTGCGCTAGGCCCCTGCCCAGAAGCTTCTGGTAGGCCCCAAGTGGCTGAGACCCTGACCCAGGGAATCACACCCAGGGCCTGGGGTGGTTACCCGTGTCCAACTGCCAGCGGCCTGTGTTCAGTCCATGCCCCGTGTCTGGCCCAGGGCCTGCCTCAGATTCATTTGGAAAAAGGCAGGCAGGGCCTGGGCTCACTCAACCAACTGGCGCTGTGCAACTGCCTGAATTTTCCCGGCCGTGTTCAACTCAGCAAAAATAGGCCTCTCGTGCCTTGTCAGGCCCGCCTTCACTTGGGGCGGCCGTTATGGCTGAAACAGCACCCAGTAGGGCTTACCAAGGCCTTGAGCCTCGCACTAGCGTACGAGTAGCGTACAAGTACAGGAGTATGAATCCGTACTTGTACGTGGGTGTGTACAGGTGGCAGCGTCCCACCTACACAGTGTAGCTAGCTCTCCGTTGAGCTGAGATTTCAACCACACACGACGTTGTGTGACCGCTACAATCGGAGAGAAGCTGTGCATCCATCGGTGGCTTTTGTTGAAAGCATTTTCAATTGAATGGGCCTCTACGAAAATGAACACTAAACGGGGAAATTTCAAATTTCGATTAAAAAAACATGAAAAATACTTTCAAGGAGTTCAGTAAGAAACCTTTTTCCAAATGCAATCGTATTTAAAGAAATGGCATGAAAAAGACCCTCGTTTCTCAGAATGAACCACAAAATCCTTTAGACCACCACTTCGGTGGCCCCTGCACTGTTCATTTTTCTTGTCTACAAGTACTGGGCCAAAATCGACAGTGACCAGGGCCGGTACCCACAATTACTTTCCCTCAGGGCGGCACTGTGGATCTTAGACTCGGGGGCATGCAACTTCTGGTTTGTCAAAATAGGTCTGCATGGAGTGGTGGTTTGAAAAGAAGTCAAAATCACAGTTCTTACCTTGGCTTCTAATCGATCCCGGTCGATTTTCATGAGCATTTTCTCCTTGAGGGCTGTTTCATGCTTTGTCCGCAGCTCTAGGATTGTGGGCTCATACTTGGCATAATGTTCCCTCAGTCTCTGCAACGAAGCAGAGCCGCGCCAAACGGTTTGGTACATGCCCACACAAAAGACTTGTGGAATGAGTAAGCTAAACAAGTTGCCACTCAAATGTAACTTAAAGGTCCCTACTGGTAGGAGCCTACCGTCTTCACCCGAATAGGGCGCCCGGTAATTATCGCCGTATCTGGGCTGAAAGTTGTGCCAAATACAGCTATAATGACCAGGCGATATATTCGGGTGAAGACGGTAGGACTAATTTTCTTTCCCAGATGGCCTGGGATACGTGAAAATTCAACTGCCATTCCATGCCTCCAATCACCTCAAAGTGCCAGGCCTCACCTTATAGGCTACGAAACTGCGCGTTCATTGGTTTTCCGTTCAAATTTTTAACGGAATGCACGCGCGTTCGATGAACGCGACCGAACGCGGAGTTCAATTCCGCGGTGCGTTAAAAAAAAAAAAAAAGCAGGCGGCGGCCTGCAGCATTCGGATGCGCTGCTGGAGAGAGAGAGAGAGAGAGAGAGAGAGAGAGAGAGAGAGAGAGAGAGAGAGAGAGAGAGAGAGAGAGAGAGAGAGANAGAGAGAGAGAGAGAGAGAGAGAGAGAGAGAGAGAGAGAGAGAGAGAGAGAGAGAGGTGGTCTCTTAAAAGAAAAATAAATAAAAAATTAAATAAAATTGAATGCCATTCAAACACGAATTTGAATGCGAATGCGCGTTCGTGGCGTTCAAACGGGTTGATGGTTAACACTGTGAGATGGTACACCTACATTGTTCTTATGAAGCTGCTTTTGGATTGCACACCAAGACGCATGGTTTGGGTGAGAACATAGAAATGGAAAGAAGGTGTAAAGGTCTTGTATGTGTCCCTTTGTGATGACGATTATCGCCCCCTCTTGGTTGGGACGTGGCAGGATGGAAAGACTTCTGTCTTCCCTGGGTTCACGACACTGCCGCATAGGACAAGTTCACCGGATACATCGTTTATTTTCTTGCCGTTGGCCAGGAGTCGAACCATTTGCTCAGACATAAGTTCCAAAATAATGCTCACGCATGCATGCATGCACACACACACACACGCACTCACGCACTCTCGCTTGCTTGCTTGTTGAGCCTTATAAATAGTGAGAAGTTAATGGTTGATTGACTTTCATGGCAATTTACTCTGATTTTGCATACGGATGATAGATCCCTGTGCTCAAAGCAGGAGGGCATCAGTGCCCAAAGGCGGGCCTGCAGTTACCTGTAACTGTCAGAGGATTGGAGGAGGAATGAGAAAGGCTGTGTTTCCCGGCCTCTCGTGGCTCCATTTGATTTCCTTTGGAAATATGGTGAAAATAAAAGGACTGCCAAATGGCAAATACCAGACTCCAGTTTTCAGAAAGCTCCCCGCGACGTGTCTCTGGCAGTCTTGATCATGTCTTTTTAAGTGAGTGGGGAAAACAGGGATTGGAAGCTACTGAATGCAAAAAGCCTCATGCAGGGCGTCTTCCGACCCTAATGCCGAGCCTCGGCTGGGGCTGACCTATTAGCCTGTCAGAATCCAGTGGGTGGGTAGAGTTTGGACTTTTTTCAAGTTTTTTGCAATCACTGGCATTCTGTTAATGTATATACAGTACTATGCACAACCTGCAAGTGTCATCCTTTTCCCATTATGCTCTCTAAAGCTTCTGACATTTCAAGGAGACAGAGTCTTCTCTCGATTCATCAAAAACACACTGGAACGAATGACCGCAAAGATAGCGATTGCTACCACATATTTTGGCATTCGGAGAGAGACACAAGCTCTTGGATTCCGAATAATATGCACATCCATCCGTATGCAGACGTTAATTAGGCAGGCTGCACACATCTCACGTGAACACGCCATGCAAAAAGTAGTTGCAGTGAATAGAGAAGTGGTTAACAGAACCCTAAATTGTCAGGCAGGTTTTCTCTTCATGGTCTTCATAACAAACCTTCCATAACCTTCAAACCAGACTTGTCACCAATGCCCTTTTCAATGTTTGGGGCCTTTGGGCCCTTTGGGGGATTAAACCACGGGCCGAAAAAAGTTTGGGTCCCAGTTAACCACTTGTGAGTGAATACAGAGTTACTATTGGCTCATACCGAGAAGAAATCGTGAGAACATGGCAGGGGCATCATCGCCGCTTTGGCGTTTTCACATCATTCTCTCTTCCTCTATCAGTATCCACTACTGTAGCCCCACTGAAGAACCTTGCACTTGACGAAAGTCATGTTACACAACTTTCTTCAGTACTGAATTGACATCTGTCACACATACCATCTCAATTCGCATGATGATTCCAATTCTTTTGTCTTTTTCTTCTGCCATTAACTTGCTGCTTCCACTTCTTGACGAACAACACACACCCATTCCAGCAGAATTTGAGTGAAGCATGGAAGTAAGGACTCAGACCTTGACGTCAAGAATAAGTCGGTTCTTTTCCTGAGTGACGCGCTTGTGATGCATTCGATGAAAGTCCCTTTCTTTTCGGAATTTCTCCCACATCACTCGAGCTTTTCTGAACGGCCAGTTGCATACATGCACTCA